CACAATTGTGTCCCACTTGTTGGTGATTCTTCACATAAAATAAAAAATTTATATCTTTATGTTTGAAGCCTGAAATGTGGCAAAAGGTTGAAAAGTTCAAAGGGGCCAAATACTTTAGCAAGGCACTGTATATGGTGCTTTTAAAGGCATTCACTACCACTCACAGTGTGCATACTTTACCTCTGTTTTATGAGACTTAAAGATGTCTGAATGAACAGTGACTGGCAAAAACATTACGTATAATGTAATAATTGGGATGACAACACAAAAAACCCTCTCAAAGGTCATATTCCCATTAAAAAGTTACATAAAAAATGTTTTTATAAATGTTTTAAAGATCACTTATATATACACAAATGCATTTTACGAGTTAGAAAAAAATAATTTTCCAGATGTAATGTCAATGAAAAATGACTACAAGAACAGGTGAAAGAAACCAGATATAGCTTAAGTTAGATCACAGATTTTCAGGCGGTCCTAGAACTTGATTATTTAACATCCTGCCTGTAAATGAGTAAGAAGAAATGCCCATTGATCTCTGACTTTAACACAGATAAAAGAAATATAAAAAATACTAGTCAGCGCTATGAGGTCAAAACAGGTTTTGTGTTTGTCAATTTTGTGAATCCATGGCCACAATGAACATAGAGCAGAAAGCACTGGCCAGTTCTTACTATCGGGACAATTATATTGCTCGCTGTTCTTCAAATTTTGAAATTGAACACTGTTCTCTACCAAATGAACATTGTAAGTGTAATTTAGGCACAGGATACATTCAGTGAAACCATCAGATTCACAGACAAAAAAACTCTTAAGGATATATTTCAGAAAAACAAAAATATACTATTATTTCTTGCCACTTTCCATGGGCACGTGCATATTTGATAAAACAATTGAAAATTCCTGTGATGCTGTGTATAATTCTGAATGATTTCTAAAAAAGCAAATGGGTCTGAGACGGGGGTGGCATGGCTCGGATTGGTTTGTACAGTATGTTTTCCCCCCAAGGTCACGAGTCTGTTTCCTCCCACAATCCAAAATTGATCAATTGTCTTCTGGAAACATTGGCCCTGGTGCGAGTGTGTGAGTCTGTATCTGTCTGTGCCCTGCAACAGACTGACTTCTCACCCAGGGTATACCGTACCTTGCTTCACATTAGTTGCTTGCTAGGATAGGCTCCTGCTTCCCCGGATAAACCAGTTAGAAAATGGATGGATGGGTCTGAGGCAGTACAGCATCCATCACTTCTGTTATGACCTGTTTTGTCTGTGCTAGCATCATTCTGGGAGCACTTCATTTGTAAATCACAAGGTGCCAAGTCTCACTGCTAACAGAAGAAAACCAATGTACGAGGTACAACAGAGATAACGGAGCGCTCAACTGCGATAAGCACGTAACGCTAACACCAATGTAATGCACTTTCAACGCATTTTCAAGCCACCACTGTTAACCACATGCCAACAACTCCCGTATCAATTCATATCAATCCCATTCAATTCCTAAATGTGCCTTGGTTTGGTATGTTCCACAACCTTATTCCCCCAGTGCCCTTTGCTCCAGATTTTTCACAGTGCATGGCACTCTTTAGTCTGTTTCATGCCCAATATTTTCACTAGACCAAGGGAATCTACCTCGTCATGTAGCCCAGATAATTAGCCGCTGACGTTTAGTTTGATGACATTTAAATTGCTCCGTAGTGCAAATGGTTGGAAGCACCTGAGTTTCATAATCCAGATTGATATCCTCTTTATCGCCTGGCGCATCCTGCTTCTCACTTTCCACAGTCCGTGCTTTAGCCAGACTCGGAGCACCCTCATTATTTGGAACCATCTGCAGCACAACTCACTCCTGCCTGTTGCTTGGGGTCTTCAATAGTTTTGGTTTTTACCCTGGTTCAGATTCATCAGAAATTCTCTGGTAGTTTTACTGAAAAATGACAGTATATCTGACAGCCTTCTGGCCATTATGACAGGAACAGGGTTGCAAATGTGAGAGCAATCTACACAAGAGTTTTTTAACATACACCTGACAGCCATCACTGAAACTGAAACTGAATATTTTATTTACTTCTGGTAAGGTTCCATTGTAACCTTTACTCACATTTAGAGTAGAATAACATTACTATGCTTAACATTCAGTGTAAGATGCAAAAAATACACAAATATAACTGTTCTGTTTTTTTTCCTGAGAGATTCAGTCAATATTTACATAACAAAATCAAGACTAAACAAATGGATTAGAATAAGCCTACATAAAGCATCAAAATCAAAACTTACAACAACTGGGTAGCAATAACCTTATATTTTCCAAGGAATTGAATGGATTAACTCCTTTCAACGCACTATTTAAATCTCAGGAAGCACCCATGAGAATTACAACTTTGATAGCCGAATCCTGGGTTCTCCATCTCTGTCTGTAGCCCAGCAGAGCATCAAAAAAAACTTTAATTCAACACTGTGGTCAAGAAGACTACACCCCAGTCTTTCATGAGCTGATAAACACCACCACTCCTATTATGTCGGCATATACCTCAAGACTGTCTGTGAACTGCCTTAAATAAAGAGCCAAGACTTGCACGGGTGCTGTAAATATGAAATGTCGCTTCTGGAAAAATGAGTCACTGCTGGATCTGGTTATCCTCAGTCTCCAGCTCGCTCAACATCTGTGGTCACTTAAATTGAATGTGAGCTGTTTTCCCCTGGCAAGACAAGCCTAGGAACCTTCTTTAGCAACATGGGGACAAAGTACACGTGAGAAAAAGACATGTCTCTAACTTCATGTGCCCAATGAATCTAGAAACCGTTCATGACATGACAATCACTCCTGAATGGATGGGGCATTTTCTTGCAACTTAGAAGGTGTACCTAATGTTACTTGCTGAAATCACCCAGATAACTCCTCTTAAGACTTTAAAACTTCTGCCTCAAAACATTGATCACTGGAGGCGGAAGAGTTCATGTCTTTCAGGTTTTAATCTAACCTTGTGCCTTGTGCCTTTAAGCCTTGAAGTTTACTTCCTCTCTTAAAGTCTAGTATAAAACTGAATACTGTATTCTAGATAAGGTCAAATTACAGTATTGCACAATTTCATTGTGCAATCTGAATTTACACTTGATCTTTTACATGTTTTTCAACTTTTTAAATTATCACCCATAATTTGTCCACAGGATCTCTCTCTCTCTCATACATCTTTTATGTTTATGTTTTTGTCCAAAGTGCAACACTTTTCACTAATGTT